ACTACCAGTCTCCATCACCACTGCCAGACACAGCCTTGCTGCCTGGGCACCCTGGCCCATCTGCCTTGCATCCACTGCTGGGGATGCTACATGGAGCAGATGGGTGGGGTCTGCATGGAGAACAGCCCGGGACCCACATGGGCAGGGTGTGCTCAGCTGGGTGCATAGGATGGGGCCATGGGCGGGCAGGGAGCGGCATTCGGGAGTGGGATAGATGGACAGGGCTGGGGTTGGGATCAGGATTAGGATTGCAGGATGGTGATAGTGTGGGGCTGGGGTCCAGGGCAGAGCCACGATTTACTGCCCACATGTCCCTGCAATGGGCGCTGGTTCTGTGGGCAGGGGTGCACGGGGAGCAGTTTGCGGCTCTGCTCTGGGTCTTGGCCCCATGCTGTCACTGACCTGTGATCTTGATCCCAGCCCCAGCCCTGGCCACCCATCTGGCTCCTGGATGATGCTCCCTGCTGCCTGTGGCCCCATCCCATCCGCCGGGCTGAGCACACCTTGTTGCACACCCATAGGTCCTGAGCCAGTCTCCATGGAGACCCTGAGATCACTGAGTGGTGACAGCACAGGGCCAGGCCCCGGCCCCGGGAAAGAGCCACTTAGGGAGTTTTGGTGAACTGTTGCAGGGAGTGGGGAGGGAGGGAGTACTGGTTCAGCCCACCAAAACTCCCTAAGTGGCCCTTCAAATAATTGCCCACCCCTAGGATAAAGTCATGTCTTCTTTTCCCCTTTGCCCCTCTCAGGATCCCTTTATGCCTGTGGGTTGGGAGCACCATGACCTATCATCTGCATGGATCTTTGGATTGAAAGCTATGGGCGACACTCCACTGCTAAGGCACAATGCGGGGTTGAGTTTGTCTGGGGAGGCCACAGAGCTTTCATGAGGGCTGAAGCCAGTCTGTGAAATTACTTGACCTAAGGGCCACTGCAGACCTCAGCATCTCCAGCTCCTGGGCATGGCATCCATCCTGTAACTTGTTTTCTCTATTGGTAAGTGCAGAGCAGTGCCTTCAACAATAAAAGAAAAAAATAAACCCTACCAAAACAGTGGTCCACATGCAGCTCTACCCCTTGGGTGAGGATGACCCATACAGGGCAGGGAATAGTCGCATCCCTTTGGAAGATGCCCAGGTAACTAGGGTAACGAGTAACATACAAAAACCTATGTAGAATGCTTTCCTCTCCTGCTCTTGTATACTTTTATTCCTGTGGTAGTATTAGTATCAGTAGAGAGAGATGATTAAGGGGCATTTAGCTTCACAGCAGCCAAGCTATATATTATTGATGGAGAGTGCATCATGATGGTATGGATCTGGGTTTTCCGTTTGCCAAAGAAAAATGCAGATTTTCCTTTTTAAGGAGAAAAACATGGATTTTCTTCTGTAAAGGAGAATAAAGTGGGAAAAGGTGGGTTTCTGCTCGAAGGCTGGCAGAGTTTCATCCTGCAAGGGGCTGTTTGGGGTTGGTGGAGCAGGAGAAGGGCAATTAGAGGCAGTGGGCACCATATGTGTGTGCACACTCATGTGCATGTGGCTGCCAGGCAGCGTGGAGAGCAGCGTGTGCAGCTCCCTCCAGGTAAATCTATGTGGGGGGGAGCAGATTGAGGCCCCCATAGTGAGGGAGGGAGTAGGGCAGGGCTGGGGCTGGGGGGTGCATGGGGCTAGGGGCAGAGTGGGAATGCGTCACTGCAGGGCCCAGCCAGGGAGCGAGAGGAAACCATGGGCAGCACATGGGGGGGGCGGCTGGTTCCCTGCCGCTATGCACACTCCTGGGAAGGGAGGCATGGGGGGCACATGGGCCCCAGAGTTATGTGTGGGGTGGGGGTGGCAGCACAGAGTTGTGCCCCCTGCTACTGCTAGGCAGGCAGGGGCCACCTTACCATAAGAGCATGGCTGGCATGGGGCTTTTGGCAGCAGCACCGAGCCTCCCTGCCCCACTCTGCTGAGGAGGCCGCCAGGGGAAGGGCAGCAGGCCAGGGAGCCCCAAGGCCAGAGTGGGCAGCCCACATCCCCCTCACCCAGGCTCCGCTCCAGCCATGCTGCCCATGTGGGGAGGGGGACTTGGGCTCTGCCACCTTCTTCAGGCAGCAGCCAGGGCTCAGATGCTGCTGGGGGTGGGGAGCAGGGGGCTGCTGGCCCTGGCCCTGGTCCTGTAGCCCTGGCAACTGAGGGGGCAGGGGGCTGCAGGTCACGAGTGAGGGGCACCAGCAGGGCTGGGGGTGGTGGGTAGGGAGTGGGGGGCACTGGCAGGGCCAGGGGACTGTGGGTTGGGAGTGAAGGGCAAAGGCATGGGAGCAGCATATTAATGCTGCTCTGTGCCCCCAAAGTAGGGTGGGAGAGAGGGCTGCTGCAGCTGGACCTACATCCTGGTGAGTGAAGTGGGTAGGGGGAGCTATGATTTTTAATGATAAAAAAGCCAAAATCAATCACCAAAATATATAGATATTTAGAATGTATTTTATTATAATGATTGAGGCACTGGTAGGCTTCCAAATTGCTTCAAAATTGTAAATATATCAACAAAACATTGTGTTCAATTGATACCTATATATTTAGTGGCATTTCATATTAATCACAGAAAAACACGGATTTTGGTTTTTTTAAATCAGAGAATTTGGAGGGTTTTATCAGAAAATTTGCTATTCCTAAACAGAGAAAACCAGGATCCGTGTTGAGTCTTTCCAATGATGCATTTATTACACAGGGTTACACTTCTCCCTGAACTATGCAAATACAAGATTTGTCTGCAACTTCACAGCATGGCTGCCCCGCACTACTGAGCTAACAAGGCAAATGTCTGGACAAAGGAAATGGGTGCAGGAAGGCCAGTAATAGGTAATAGCAAGTGGGGACACACAGTCCCATTCACCTTGTGCCCAAAGTCTCAGTTTCTATAGCTCAGCTAGCAAAAGGAAGCTATCTCTGGTATCTAGACTAGTGGGTCCATCCCACACCACTAGGGGGTAGTGGTGCACATATATCCCATTGCCAGCTTTTGAGAAGACAGAATTGAAGGCTAAGGGAGATGTAATTTGCCTCTTTGTGGGTGCGTCTACAACTGCAATTAATGCGAACGTGTGTCCAGGAGCAATAAACTCCGGGGCAATAGACTCTGGAGTTTGTTGCCATTTGCATGTCCACCCAGGATCTCATCATACTGAACTGGGTCAGAGCAACCTCAGCTGGCACGGGGGCACCAGTGGTAAGTCTGCCAGCCTGGAGCTGCTCCCCCCAGATCAATGTACTGCAGAGGGCCTGACTGCGGCATGAGGGTGCTTCAGCGCAGGGTTAGCTGCGAGGCATGCCCTGCACTGAAGCGCACTTGTGCCCCAGCCAGCTGGAGCAGCATCTATATGTGCTGCTGTGGAGTTTTTTACTTTGTAACAGGATAGTACTTGTATTTATAAGTACTATCTTGCTGTGGAATACATTAATTTACTCCAGCCTAATAGGGGTGCACGTGTAGACACCAAGATGTTTACTGTGCAGCTAATTAGTCTATTGTGCAGTAAATGCCTTGTGTAGATGTGCCCAGTGAGTCTAAAGTGACCAGCCTTTTTTTTTTTGTGACTGCTGATGGTGCAAACGTGGCAGCACTAGTTAGCAAAGCAGGTACTGCAATTACTAAAACCCATCTTCCATGCCTAGGATTGTCCAGTCCACTACGTCCCACTTGGAGAGGGAAGCAGCATACCTTTCTCTCTTCTTATGCCCTTCCCCACCCAGCTTGGGGCAGGAGAGCAGTATGTCAGCTCCCCTGATAATACATTTCCTGTGCTAACTCTCTCATTAAACCAAGGAAAGGAAGCATCAAAATCCTTCCTGCAAGGTTCTGAGGGGGAAATTAGAGGTAGATTTGAAAGAAAGAAAGAAAGAAAGAAAGAAAGAAAGAAAGAAAGAAAGAAAGAAAGAAAGAAAGAAAGAAAGAAAGAAAGAAAGAAAGAAAGAAAGAAAGAAAGAAAAGAGAAAGAAACGGAGAAAGACTGAAAGTGGGTGGACGAGGGGGAAGGAAGCCAATGCCATTCCTCAGCCAGTGGCTGAGAGTCCAATACAAACGTGAAGTGCTTTGACACTTGTGTGTTAAGCTGTGAGTTAGACAAGTCCTCCCTTCAGAAGGGAAGAAGACTCTGGAGGATAGCTGAGAGGGAGCATAATTCTCCTGTGCCCCTGTCCAAGCTCTGAGGAAGGAGACACCTGGAAGAAAGAGAAACCTGCATGCCCATGGGAGAAACTTCTGTTGGTCTCTGTGGGTCACTGAAGAAGAAAGGACAGAGAGAGCAGGTGGTGAAGACAGGAGATATTGCCTCATCATCAGACAAGGTGGAGTGTTTAGCTGTCACAGATCTGAAATGCCACTCCCTTTCTCAGCTCCTTGGTTCTCTGAGACCTGGTAAGGCGTGCTGCTGAGCAGGGCTTGTAAAGGACTAGGGAAGTCTGATAGGCTGTATTGTTCAATGTGGGAAGTGGGCTCTCCATGACTATTTTGGTGTTAGCCCAGGTCTTTCTGCATTACATCCTCCTTCCCTTGCTGCTGCCTGTGTTAAACTGACAAGAGGTCCAGGCAAGCCAAGGGAGAAATGCATTAGTGACTGTTCGGGCTGTAACTTCTTGCACAGCTGGAATGCATGTTTTGACCCTGGCCTGATGGCATCAGAGAGTGGAGAGGAAGCCCAGTGTGGCAATTTCTCAGATGACAGCAGTGATGATGGTGGTCTTGGGGAGGACAGCCCAGTCACTGGCCTACTGGGCACAATCCTGACAGTCATGTGCCTCTTTGGGATGATGGGGAACATTTACACGCTGGTGGTGGCATCCAGTGGCATCTCTGGCCGCTCAGCTGGCTCTCTGGGTGTCTACGTGATCAACCTGGCCCTAGCTGACCTCCTTTACCTGTCCACCATTCCCTTCGTGGTGTGCACGTATTTCGCCCATGACTGGTTCTTTGGGGATGTAGGTTGCAGGCTCTTGCTCAGCCTGGACCTCCTCACCATGCATGCCAGCATCTTCATGCTGACTGCCATGAGCCTGGAGAGATACTGGGCAGTAACCAGGCCACTGAGGGCCAGGTGGGCTGGAAACAGCTATCGCAGACTCATTAGCTTGGCCCTCTGGCTTCTGTCACTCTTGCTCACTGTACCCATGATGGTCATGATCCAACTGAGGGACAGCAGCAGCCACAAGAAGCGGATCTGCTTCCCCACCTGGACACCTGAAGCCTTCCGCATTTATCTCACGGTGCTCTTCACCACAAGCATCCTGGCTCCCGGCCTGATCCTGGGCTTTGTCTACTTCCACCTCGCGCGAGCCTACTGGACTTCAGTGGTAGAGACACAGCCACGGGCAATGGGCCGGGCCTCCAAGCAGAAGGTTTTCTCCAGGATCTTCAGCATCATTGCAGCCTACTGGTCCTGCTTTGTCCCTTTCTGGGCCTGGCAGCTAGCCAAGCTCTATGGGGCTGAGAGCCTGGGGATCAGCCCTACTGCTCAGGCATACCTTAACTTTGGTGTGACCTGCCTGACCTATGGTAACAGCTGCATCAACCCCTTCCTCTACACCCTGCTCACCAGGAACTACCGTGAATACCTGGCCCACCGAGGGAAGAGGCAGGCAGGTGAGAGAATCCTCTTCCGGAGAGGGGAGCAAGGCAGGGTCCTAACTGAAGGCATGCCTGGTGCCTCTGACGGACTGCCCAACATAGGCAGGGGGCTTGAGAAAGGAAAGCAGAGGGAAGCCCCTGGCAATTAAACTCTGCAAGCAGTTTCAATTGGGACTTAATGCAGCTTTCTATTGATGCTTATTAGTCTCATGTGGAATATGAAATAAATACAGCTCTGCCTTCTATAGTGCCTGCAGGGTCTTTTGCTTTCTTATTGAGCTATACTGATAGTCTTCACCTGAGCATTGGCTTATTCAAAGTCCACTGAAACTCCCTGTTCCCTCCCTTGGTTCCCCTCAAAGGATGTTTCCCTGTGGACAAACACATAGGTAGGAGGAAGGGTTGGGGGTAGGGCATGGAAATTGTTAAAATGGGTCCTGTCTTGCGACCTGTCCCTGTCTCTGGTAGCAAGAGAGAGAACTGGGTTCTTTCCACAGCCTCATACCTCTCTATGCACCTGGCTTCCCTCCTCCTATGAAGAAATGAGCCAGTACTGAGAGCAGAAAGCACTGGCACAGCTAAATTATGTGGTAATATTGCCCCTAGAAGGAAAGCCTCCTTTCTCTGCTCTGAGAACAGGCTGAGCCCTTGTGAACTCAGAACAGCAGTGAGTCACTCCAAACTCTCATTCTATTAGGCTCATTTCTAACAGCTGCCCAATTGAGCAACAGGGCTGGATTAAGGACCCTGCCTAGGGCCCTGGCTGTTGGAGTCGCATGGGATCATTAGAGTCTTAGCTTTTATCTAAAAATAAGTCCCACTTTTGTGCAGATCCCCTTGCAAACATGAGCAAAGTTGAGCAAGCACCCAAGAGAGCCTAAAATAACAGCTCAGAAGGAGTGGGAACGGCCTCATTTAGCTTCATGGGGTCCTGGCACTCTTGATGGCCACACCAGCCCAGCAAAGAAGTCTACAAGTAGACAGCCTCACTACCAACACCCATCAGAGGCAGGCTGAAAGCATCTTCCTCTGTCCCCCAGAGTCCTCTGCCCAGGTAGCTGAAATCCAAGTGCTCCCTCTTCTTGGATGCACTCCAGCGTGTCAAAGAGTGGTGATAGTCTGGAAAGAGCAAGGTCCCCATCCCAGCTTTCATGTGAGCAGCCCTTGCCACTGCAGCCCCTGTTAGGGGCACAGCTGTGATACTGGGCCACTCTGTGAGGGTGGGCTGTGGATGACTTCAGTCTGGCCCTGCTTAGCATGAATATGGTAAGGGAAACTCTGCCTTTTCCCCTTCAAGCCACTTGTGTTTCTCCTTCCTATGGGTATTAGGGATCCTGAACCTCTGCTCCCGATGCAGCACAGACCCAGCAGAAGCTAGCGGTAGGGTGGTATAGAGTGGCCTGCCTCAGCCCAGAGGGGGGTGGGTTACCCACAACAGGGAGAGGAATGTACTATGTGACTGTAATATGCCTCATCTCTGAATTACGCAGCAGGGGAGGACACAGTAGCAGGGAGAAGAGAGAGGAGTGGCAGAGTCACACCAACCTGTGACTGGATTGAGACAAAGGCACAGGATCATTTGCATTTCGCATTATGTAGGGACACTGAGAACACAGCTTGCCTGCCACAGGCCTCACAATTGACACGATCCATAGAGCACCAGGCTTTAAGCGGCCAAGAGCAGGCGTCCTGGCTCTCCCCCAGTGTAGTTTTGCTTTGAGGCAGGGCTGGGGCAGGAGCAGGCCGTGGTAGAAGTGTCATGCTGTAACACAGGTGACATGCGCTGCTCCCCGGCTATGAAGAGAAGCAAGCAGTTCAGACTCCGTTTGTGCCAGACGGGGAAATGAATTGGAGGCCAGTATTTGGACTCGCATTCCCCCACCTGGCATCAGGTTCTATATACAAAAGCCAGCAGGTCTCAGTCTGTGTTTTTACCCCTACAGTTACTATGCTGCAAGCAAGGTGGCAGAGGGAGGCTCTACTGTAATCTGTTTCATGGTTTGGGTCCTCAGTAAGCAGGGACAGCATGTGAATTGCTTTATTAGCAAGTATGCTTGGCAGAGAGGCATTGCCCTGCTGGTCACCCTGCAGCAACATGAACAGAGCTCCTGGCTATCCTGGGAGATGGTAGGAGGCTGGGCAGTGTGTGATTGAGGTATGCCTTTACAGAAGGCCTGTTAGCAGAAGGGTAACTCAGTGCCCTCCCCTCTCCTGTGCCTCCACCCAGCTCTGCATATGAATTCAGTGCTGTTCCTGTCCAAGGTGTGGGCCTCTTGACTGGGGATGATTAGTCCTGCAATGTGTTGTAAAGTACATTCAGAGCACAGCCAGATTTCTTGGGCCCTTTTCATTCACAGGAGATGAGAAGCTACGAGTTAAGAACAGAGGGTCTTCTGCAAGAGACTGAATCCAACAGAGACCTGCCTTTGCAGTCAGTAGGTGCCAGGCACACCCATGATGCTCCAGAAGAATGGTCTGGTTACTTTATCAGTGAATACCCTGTTCACACTATTCCTCCCACCTTGAGAATCTCCATGCTTTCTACTCCAGCCCTCCCAGGAGATGCCTAGCAGAGGAAGAGAAGTTATCTCCTCTCCCTTCTCCTGTCAGATACCAGGTCTGGCAAGCACCCCAGAAGTAACAGACCCAGGGAAGAAAATTAAGTGCTGTAGGTAGTACGTCAGCCATAAGAAAGAGCGAGCCATGAGGTTTGAGACATCAGACTCAGTGGCATTTATTTATTTCATTTTAAATATCCCTTTGGAGCCAAAGGTGTGGGATGAGAATGGAATTATTCCATTTGGAGGGATTTGAGTTTGAAGTCACCCTCTTCAGCCAGGTAGTCGATGACCTGGAGTCCCAGCCGGTTAGGGAACTTGAATTGGTGGCCTGGCAACTGAATAGTCAGGTCATTTTTGTCATGAAGAAAGAAGATCTGCAAAGGGTGAACACAAAAGAGTCAGAGGACACATTGGCCAGGGCATGCTATATGTCTGTCTCTTCACCATCTTCTCCCACTGCCCTAGTCCAGGAGCAGGGTTCTTCAGAGAGAGACGGAAATGGGAAAGCTGCAAACTCCTTTGCCAGTCATCAACTCTGGCGGGGTATAGCCCTGACAAGTGAGAGGTGGCTGTGATCACCTTCCCAAACAGGCTGGGATTGGGTACCCTATGTATAATATACCTCCTCCCTTTCTTTTAGGGACAAAGCTGAGATGTGTCCCATGCACAAGGACACCATCCCACCCCTGGGTCATTCCCAACCTCACCTCTGCTGTGGAGCCCTCCTGGAAAGGGAATGTTGTCTCCCTCTGTTCTGTGCCCCATTCCCCATTGTTCTTGGAGTTGCACACAATGGTCTTCACATCCCCATGTATATCAAAGCGCGCGTTGAAGTGCAGCACAATATTGGCGGGGTCCTTCCCTATGTTCACTACAAAGCTGGCAGAGAAAGGAGACAAGTGAGAGACAGGTAGCACTATGCACCCCAGACTGTAGCAGCACCATACCCTCTTACTGCCACAGCCTGTGGTTTTCCCTCAGGCTCAGGACCACTGATCAGTATTGGTAAAGGAGCCCTACAAGAAGGACCAGGGGATCCACAGAAAGAAGGGCTGGTGCGTTGGTAGGGGGAGCTCTTTGCTCTGGGTCACTAATCAACCACTGCCCCAGCACAGTGCTGTGTTTCAGACAGAAGTGTTGATTACCTGCACCCATGACACTTTTCGCAAGAGGAAAGGTCAGCAGTCAGCTCTGACTGGGTTGGAAAATCACATTCCACGCTCTGAAATCCCCCTGGTGTTTCAATTGCCTGCCATATTCTTCACTTCCTGTCCCAAACAGCTGGGAATTGCTGTGCTCTATGGCTGCTCTCCAGCCCACAGGCCGTTGAAGCAATTGCCATCTCTTTAACGAAGCACCTTTCCTCCAAAGGGATTTTTGCCTGAAACAGAACAACGCTCCTTCCCTGCATGGGCTCCTCCTTCCCTTGAGGCCCCAACAGGCAGACGTGATATTTTGGGAGGGAAAGCCCAGAAGGCTTTGTTCTGACACTGTTGTGAGAAGTCAGGGCATGTTGCTTCTTGGAATACCATTGGCTCCCAGGGTGGTAGCCAAGCTCCACTCCCATGGAGCCAACCACACCCAAAGGAGACACCGACTGGCTCAGTTTGATGGCTCAGTTTTGAGGGTGATACAAGGAGGCTGCTCCCGGGGTCCCTAGGCTGCAAGCTCATTAAGGTGCCTTCTGTATCTGGCCCCAAGCAGCTCTTTAGCTGGAGTGCTCTGCCCTTTTAGTTGCTCCCTTCCAGCCAACGAACACACCTGCCTAGTCAGCACATCTCCAGAGACCCTGCACTGCGCACAGGCTCTCCATCTGCCTGGCCCTGCGCATTAGAGGATGTGGTTGCTGTTAGGGGAGGGCACTGGTAGATTGAACATCTGGTTCCATTCAGTCTCTTGGCAGGAGATGCACTGGGGGAGGGGAGAAGAGGCGGGGAGGGGGGGCCATGTAGCCTGCAGTGTATATTAGGAGCTATGTCAGTGCATATGACTCATTGGAAAGAGCTGTTTGCGGCATTAACCCTTTCAAGACTGCACCTCTCTTCCACCACTCTACAGCCTTCTTGTTTAGCCGCCTTCATGCCCATGGGACATGGCTTACCTCTTGGCGCCTGGTGTAACTTCACCCTTCACACCAAAACGCTGTCCAGGCTTGATGCCCAAATTGGTGCAGACTAAGCCCTGTAGAATTCAAAAACAGACGTATTAGTCCCAAGCATTCTGGCTCCCTCCACTAGCCCACTCCATCACCCTCCCAGGATGACGGGAGGAAACATGGCAGAGGTATTGGACACAGCTGGGGACCACTGATCCTGGCTGAGGGTGGAAGGTGAGGTTGGCTCATTGCTTCAGGCAGAGAGGGAGACGGGGATCCCCAAGGAAGAGCAGAGCGCCCCTTGAAGAGTTGCCACACATGGCTGGGGCATGTGTTCCTCTCCTAGCAGTGCAGTTGCT